CTTGAGCTTCTTCCGAGAAATGGGGGGCCCATGGAACTTCATGTTTTTTCTTACAGTTTCGGGTGGGCGTACGTACACCCCGGCTTAAAGTTAAAAACAGCTTAGGCTAAGAAAGTGGACTGCACTCCAGGCGTGTTCTTGAACAGTAGTCCAGGTCCAGATATAAGAAAACTCTCCGAAACGCGAGCTCCAAGAAAGCGCCCAGGGTCCAGCCAAGATTCTTGACTCTCCAACGAAATCTGGAGCCCATGAAAGCTGGTGCTTTTTCATAAGACTTCTGAGGGGTGTACACGCAAGAATGACCCTAGGCAGGAGTGACCTGGGCTGCGCAGCTTTAGGGGGCCTTTTGGTACGCGGGGGAGGGAGCAAATCCAAGCGGGCAAGCTGGTGCTGGGGGGGGTCACCTGCGAGCCCACACCACAGAAGGCACTCTGGCGATGTTTCACTCCTGCGCGTCCCCGACTCGTGAGGGAGGGGGCGGGGGCCCGGGCACTTTCGGGCCCCCCGGGCCATCCAAAAACGATCTGGGATGAAGCACGGGTTAAGGCGAAGCCAGGACGAGGATAAAATCGAGCGAGGACGCATCGAGAATCTCTGAGATCTGGCGGCTCCGGAGCGTGTCTCGGGCGCCGCGACCTCCTCAGAGAGTTCCGGGACGCTCTGACAGCGTTCCGGAGCGCTCTGAAGGGGGATTATATCCTCGTCCTAGCCCCCGCCGGACGGGCCCCAGGGAAGGGGTCCGGACCTCCAGAGGCCCGCGCACAGGAGAAGCCCGTGGACCACACTCCATCCTCCTCCTCCTCCTCCTCCTCCTCCTCCTCCTCCTCCTCCTGCTCCTCCTCCTCCTCCTCCTCCTCCTCCTCCGCCTCCTCCTCCTCCTCCTCCTCCTCCTGCTCCTCCTCCTCCTCCTCCTCTCCCTCGCTGAGACACAGCTGTCTCAGCGAGGGAGACCGCAGGCAGCCCTGGATGTTCCCGAAGGGGGCCCTAAGGACGTTCCGAGGGGTCCTTGCAACGACGGAGTCGGCGCATGTGGCCTGGGTCACCAAGCTTGGCACTTCGCGTCGAGCGCGTGCGAAGCGCGGTGATCCTGGACCTCCCGCGCCGCCGCCATGGAGAACGACAGCTCTTCTGGTACAGACCGCGAAACGCGAAGCGCAGCTAACTTTGCGCCCCCGCGGGTGACCTAGAAGGCGCAAGCCCATTGGCTCTGGTAGAACTGCCTCGCGTCGAGCCTCTTGACAGCCGGCCGCACCACGGCCATGATCGCACCGATCTCCTCGCTGTCGTCCTCCTCTGGGAGGGAGAGAGAGGGTTCCTCCTCCTCCTCCATCACCACCACCACCAACACCACCATCAACATCACCATCACCATCACCATCACCATCACCATCACCATCACCATCACCATCATCATCATCATCATCATCATCATCATCATCATCATCATCATCATCATCATCATCATCATCATCATCATCATCATCATCATCATCATCATCATCATCATCATCATCATCATCATCATCATCATCATCATCATCATCATCATCATTCTCATCATCAGCATCATCAGCATCATCATCAGCAGCATCATCATTATCATCATTATCATCATCATCATCATCCTCATCATCAGCATCATCAGCATCATCATCATCATCAGCAGCAGCATCAGCATTATCATCATTATCAGCATCACCATCATCATCATCATCATCATCAAGAACAACCACAACATCATCAGCATCCTCATCATCATCAGCATCATCATCAGCATCATCATCATAATCATTACCATCATCATCATCAGCAGCAGCAGCATCATCATCAGCATTATCATCATACTCATCATAATCGCCATACTCATTGTAATCCCCATCCTCCCTCCGTCCTCCAAATCCCCTAGTCTCCCGCGCGCTCCCGCGCAGGTGCGATTCGGAGGTGCCACTGCGCGCCGTTACCTCCCGGGGCCTGCCACTGCCTTTCCTGTCCCTATACATATGCCAATGTCTGCCCCTGTCCCTATCCCTATTCCTATCCATATCCGCTGCTTATCCACATCCCTGTCCTATCTCCCCATCCCGATCCCCATCCCCATCCCGATGCCTATCCCTGTCCCTGTATCCCTAATCCTATCCCTGGCCCTGTATCCGCATCCCTATACCTACTCCTACCCCTCTCCCCATCCCGATCCCGAACCCCCATCGTGGCCTCCCGTCGTGGCCCCCGTCGTGACCCCCCCAAAGGTGACCCCCCCATCGTGATCACCCCCCCATCGTGGCCGCCCCCTTCGCAAGTGCGCAACGCTGCTCAGGGCCCTCGGCCGCGCGGGCGCCACGAGTCGCAGGTGGCGGCGCACGCGCCCCGCGCCCGCAGCCTACGCGGGGACGCTGCAGGGCGAAGCGAGCACCGAGCGGGCGGGCGGCGGCGGCGGGGGCAGAGGAGGGAGCGACCGGCGGCGCACGCAGGCTGTGAAGGGCATCGTTCGGGCGGGTGGCACCCACGGGTCGGAGGCGGGTAGAAGCATGAAGCAGGAAGGCGTTGGAGGAGGAGGAGTTGGAGGAGGAGGAGGAGGAGGAGGAACAGAAGTCGGAAGAAGGCGTCGGAAGTGAAAGTTGGGCTTCTGTTCCCCCCCTGGAAGAGAGGAGGGAAAGGAGGGGCAACCGCTCGACTCTCGAGGCAGAAGGGCGCCGAGAGTAGGTCAAGAGTGAAACATCCCAGAATACCTACTGTTCAACGACCGTGGGGGGGGGGAAAAAAACACAACAATCTGTGGGAAAAAACGCTGTGGGAAAAAACACACACTGTGTGTGTGCTTTTCCCACAGTCTGTGTGTGTGGTTTTCCCCACTGTGTTTTTTCCCATAGGTTCAAAGGTGAGATATCCCAGAATACCTACTGTTCAACGATCGGCGTGTAATCGTCGGGGGCGCGCAGACATGAATTAGCGATCCATGGACTTGGCGCGCGGTCGCCAAATCCATGGATCGGATGAGGTGCCCTCCCCAAAATGCAGCTGGTGCCGCCTCGTTCGGCGGCGGAAATCCGCGATTTCCCATAGAAACAGGACCCGTCGCTAATCCACACCGCGATCGCCTGAAATTGGGGGTGACCGACCTAAATATGGGGTGAAGAAAACAGCCATAAAGGGGCCCTGCAGGAAAAACGGGCCCCAGACGGCCCCTTTGGGTTCTTCACCCCCCGCATTGAGGACACTCCCCATTACCACCAACCCGAATCGTACGCTGTGTGGCGGCCTCAGGCTCCAGGTAGGAGTCGTGGGAGGCAAGCGAATGCTCAAAACTGGCACTGACCGGGGGTACAGCCAACCCGTCTAGTAAGGATGCACGCTAAGGATGCAAGGGCCTTGGAAGGCCATGTCGACACTTTGAGGGCAGGGCGCGGTCAGCGAAAGCGGCCAAGGATGGGCCGAAGGCAAAGGATGCAAGGATAACCTTGGAAAGCCGCTTATCCTTGCTGTGCGGGTTGGCTGAAGCACTGACCAGGGAGACCGAGGGCCAAACTGTTTAAGACGATAAGCGCGGTCGGGCGCCGGTCAGGCTACAGGCGGGACACGCCGAAAACAGACGGAGGCGCAGCAAGGAAGAAGAGAAAAGAACGGCGACAGGGCGGGAACCACTCAGAATGGGGACACCAAAAGGTACCGATACCGCTACTCCCCACACCTCTCCTGGGGCGCACTCTGACCAGGACTTCGAGGCGAATCCAGCGTTGGCGACGAGGGACCCCCGGGAGGCACACAAAAGGGGGAAACGAGGCCAGGGCAGCGGTATCGGCACCTCCTCCGCCTCGGTAACAGGGCGGGAGCCGCTCAGAACATGCAGTCCGTCGCGGGGGTGACCGCGGGCCAAACACTTTTAACGTCGCAGCGCGGCAGAGGCAGTCCGCACGCGCGCTCGGGCGAGCCGGGCGACGGCATCGCCAATCAAACCGAGGGCCAAACGGCCTAGAGTCCTCCTAGATGGGGCCGAGTATCTGGGGTCGGAGGATCGCGCCGCATCGTCAATACATCGGCGATACATCGCCGATGCATCAGCGATGCATCGGCGACGTCGGCGATGCATCAGCGACGCCGGCATGGAGAGAATCGGGCTCCACATCGAGCAGCATCGCCGATGCGACGCCATCCTCCGACCTCATCTACTCCGGGGGGGAGGTGAAGGAGGAGGGGAAGGGGGAGCAGGGGAACGAGGGGGGAAGGGGGGAGGTGGGGGGAGGAAGGATGAAGAAGGACGAGAGAGAGAGAGAGAGAGCGGCCCAAGGGGGAGGAGGACGAGAAGGAGGCGGAAGGAGGAAGGACGAGGAGGACGAGGACGAGGAAGGACGAGGAGGAGGAAGGAGGAAGGAGGGAGGAGGGAGGAGGAGGGACGACGAGGAGGGGGCAGGCTGAGGGAGCATGGAGGAGGCCCAGAGACACGGCAGTCCACGCAATCAGCGCGTACCCTACTGCCTGCCCTCCGGCGCGCGGCAACCCTCGACTTAGGTCGGGCATGTCCCCCTACAGGCGGACCTTAGGAGAAAAATAAAAAATAGTCCGAAACTATTCCATTACCCCAGTGCGACCCTACCTAGAAGTTGGAGCCCCTAGGAAAGCAGCATTAGTTGCTGTGCTATGCTACGCTATGCCATACCATGCTATGCTGCGCTATGCTATGCTATGCTATGCTATGCTATACTAAGCTATGATATATAATGTTGCGCTGTGCTAAGCTATGCTATGCTATGATTTGATATGTTATAATAAGCTGCGCTATGATATGCTAGGTTATGCTGTGCTATGATATGGTATGATATGCTATGATATTATATGATATGCTATGATATGATATGATATGCCATGTTATGCTATGTTATGATATGCTATGCTGCGCTGTGCTATGATGTGCTGTGCTGTGCTGCGCTATGCTATGCTATGCTATGCTGTGCTGCGCTATGCTATGCTGCGCTATGCTATTCTACGCTGTGATATGCTATGCTGTGCTATGCTATGCGAAAGCTCAGCGAATCTAAGATGAAGGTAAGTTAAGCTAAGATAAACCTGAGCTAAGATGAAAATAGGCTAAGCTAAGATGAAATACGCTAAGCTAAGATGAGATAAGCAACGCTAAGCTAAGGGAACGTCACTGGGGGAACCGCGGAGCGGATGCTGGGGGAACCGCCCGGGGCGATTTCCACTGCCCGGCCCTTTAAGCACACCGAGTAAGAACCCTTCTAGGCAGAGCCTAGGTAGGGAAATATTCAAAAATAGTCAAAGAATCGTCCCCAGACTACTTTCACTATTTTTGAATACTCCTCCTGCAAAGGGACGTGCCCGACTTAAGGCTGGCGCCGTCGGCCTGCAGGCCTGGGGGCAGGCGTGCAGGCCGTCGATGCCAGGCACAGCTCCTCCGTTCTCCCCATCGGCCCTCCTCGAGGATCGAGGAGGGATGTCGAACGTTTTCGGGCGGTTCTTTGAACGTTTTCGGCCCTTGTCGCGCCTCCGGGGACCTCCGGGGACCTCCTGGACCCTCGCGGGGACCTCCGGGGACCTCTGGGGTCAGGATCCGGGGCGGGGGCACAACTTACTGGGCGCAGCAGGCCACCTGGGGAGGCGCAGTGCGGCAGATTTCTGGGGAGAGGGCAAGTCCGCGGCTATCCAGGAACGAATCCGTCGCTCGCCAGCCGCGCCTTGGGCCCAGGCGGCAACGCGAACGCCCTGCTGCGGTCCCTGGGGCTTGCACGTCGCCGCGCGCACCTGACCAGCGCGCGAAGCTGCCAGAGAAGCGGGGAACGATTCGCCTACATGTGGTCCTCCTCATACACTTACCTTCCCCCTCCTCCTCCTCCTCCTCCTTCCCCTCCTCCTCCTCTTCCTCCTCCTCCTCCTCCTCCTCCTCCTCCTCCTCCTCCTCCTCCTCCTCCCTCCTCCTCCTCCTCACCTCCTCCTCCTCCTCCCTTCCCTCCCTCCTCCTCCTCCTCCCTCCTCCTCCTCCTCCCTCCTCCTCCTCCTCCTCCTCCCCTCTCCTCCTCCTCCCTCCTTCTCCTCCTGCTCCTCCTGGTTCCTGGTGGCCTGGAGGTCGTTGAACGCAGCCTCACCTCCTCCTCCCTCCTCTCTCCTCCTCCCTCCTCTCCTCTCCTCTCCTCATCCTCATCCTCATCATCATCAGCATCATCATCATCATCATCATCAATCATCATCATCATCATCATCATCATCATCATCATCATCATCATCATCATCATCATCATCATCATCATCATCATCATCATCATCATCATCATCGTCATCCTCATCCTCATTCTCATCCTCATCATCATCTCTCATCATCATCATCATCATCATCATCATCATCATCATCATCATCATCATCATCATCATTCATCATCATCATCATCATCATCATCATCATCATCATCATCATCATCATTATCATCATCATCATCATCATCATCATCATCGTCATCATCATCATCGTCATCGTCATCGTCATCGTCATCATCATCATCATCATCATCAGCAGCAGCATCAGCATCATCATCAACATCATCCCCGTCATCATCAACATCATCATCATCATCGTCAGCATCATCATCAGCATCAGCATCATCATCGTCACCACCACCTCCATCATCATCATCATCATCACCATCATCATCATCACCATCATCATCAGCATCACCATGTTCCTCCTCATATTCCTCCTCCGTCGCCTCATCATTCGCCTCTTTCTCCTATTCCTCCTCTTCCTCCTCTGTAGTATCATCACCATCATCAGAAACAAACCATCATCATCAGCCTCCCAATCCCGCTCCCCTCTTCATCCTACACCCTTCCTTCTCTTCCTCCTCCTCTCCTCCTCCTTATCATCCTTCTTGTCATGATAATCATCGGAGAAAGATGAATTCATACATCCAGAAATAATTGAATCAAACATAGACAATGCTAATGATAATGAAAGTATGGTGGTCATGGCAACAACAGTAATAATAATCGTCATCATCACCATCATCATCATCACCATCGGCAGCAGTAATATCATCCTCGCCAACAACATCATCATCATCATCATCATCATCATCATCATCATCATCATCATCATCATCATCATCATCATAATCATCAAAATCATCATAATCCGTATCAGCAGCATCTTCTTCTTCATCATCATCATCCTTCGCCTCATACACCAACACCATCACCATTAGCATCGACAACATAACATCATCATTACTGTCCTTAGCACCAGTATCAGCATCATCATCATCATCATCTTTATCATCATCTCCATAAGCATCACCATCATCATCATCATCAGTTTCATCATCATCATCATCATCATCATGGCCATCATCATCATTATCAACATCACAACCGCCATCACTCACCATCTCGATCATCGTTCTCAAAACCCCAATCGCCATCCGCATCAGCTTACGCAGCAGCATCATTATCATTGTCGTCACAATCATCATGAGCGTCATCGTTATCATAACCGTCATCAGCATCAGCATCATCATCATCATCAGCATCAGCATCATCACCACCACCATCATCATAAACACCAACAACAGCATCATCATCGTCGTCATCATCATCGAGCGCACCACCATAATCATCATCATCAGCATCATCATCATCATCATCATCATCAGCATCATAATCACCATCATCATCATCATCATCATCATCATATACGTTATCACACGCATCACCAGCATCGCCATCGTTATCATCATCCTGATGATTATCATCATCATGAGCATCAGCAGCAGCATCGTCATCATCATCAGCATCATCGTCAGCATCAGCATCGCCATCATTATAATCATGACTATCATCATCATCATCATCATCATCATCATCATCATCATCATCATCATCGCAATCACCATCATCCTCACAACCATCATCATCATCCTATTTACCACCATCATCACCATCATCACCATCATAATCATTACCACCATCATCACCATCATTACCATCATCACAATCGTCATCATTATCAGCAGAGACAGCCTCATCATCATCAGCAGCATCGTCATCGTCATCACCAGCAGCAGCATCATCATCGTCATTCAAATCCCCATCATCGTCAGCGGCATCATCATCATCGTCCTCGCCATCACCATCATCACCACCACCCTCACCACCATCATCATCATCCTCATCATCATCATCCTCATCATCATCACCACCACCATCATCGTCATCATCATCATCGTCATCGTCATCGTGATCATCCTCATCCTCATCATCATCACCGCCACCATCATCATCGTCATCATCATCACCACCGCCGATCATCACCATCACCATCATCATCATCCACGTCGTCAGTTCCTGACGGCTCCTGATTCTGCCCCGCGCAATCGTGCAGGAGGCCCTCCAGACCCCGCAGGAGGGTCCGCTTGGCATCCGGCAGGGACAGGTCGAACCAGGTGGGGTCCAGAAACTGCGGGAACGGCACCTGAGGACTTTTTGGACTTTTTCGTAGCAGAGGGAGGGAAGGAGAAAGGAGGGGGACCCTATTCGGCACTGAGTGGTCCTCGGCAGCCTTCGGCGGCCTTCGGAGGCCTTCGGCAGCCTTCGGAGGCCTGCGGCAGCCTTCGGAGACCTTCGGACGCTTTCGGAGACCCTCGGATACCCTCGGGCACAGGCCTTCGGCGGCCTCTGGAGGCCCTCGGAAGCCTCTGGGGAATGGAGGCTGCTGATCCGCAGGCAGTCTGCAGGCAGAAGCGCTGGACTGCGGGGCTCCGAGCCCACACGCCGATACACCACCCTGACTGCGGCTGTGCGGGCCACTCGATGGCCCAAGAGCACATGAGGACTCTGGTTTCTCGTGAGACGCAGCCCCACCTTGTGTTATCACGCCTCAGCCGGCACATCAGAACGACTGTTCATTGCGAAGGGCACCTGAGGATTCATTGCCTCCTTGTGATGGGCATCCGAGGTGAAGTTATCATGCCTCGTTTCCTCGTGAAAGGCACCTGGGGACTTCGAGGGAGCCTGGCACGTGAGCAGCAGCATGCAGGCAGCATAATGCATCGTGCGACCGCAGCCTCTCTCCCCACGCCTCTTGACGAGCGGCCCCGTGACGCGAAAGCTCGAGCATGGGGAAAAGTGTGAGTCGTGGCAGTTGTCGGATTGACTGGTCCCACAATCGATCGAAACTGCAGGAGACCTGCATCGGGGATCCATGCTTGTGGATGTGCTAGTCATTTATTGAACACGATCTCAAAGCTTTCGGCTGAGCACGCCGTCGAGGCTGAACTCACCACTGGCGAGTTAGCTCCGGGGCCAAAAGAAAAGCTTCGATCCTATCTCACAAATGTTATCTGGTTAGCTTCGTGACATGATTGAACAGGTGGGGGTGTCAGAAACTTTGGACATCGCCACTAAATCGAGAATCCAGTGTTTTCCCTGCGGGGTAATAGCCATGTTTCGCCAATTTCTCTCGGGACATGCCGCCTGATCCGTCGGCGACAGCGCGTTCCCTTCATAGCACGAGCCAGACGAAAAGAGATCTCGAGCAGATCAGCAGTCCCGATCGGAAGCGGCCGAGGTCGATGCTGCTCCGTGCAGCGCTGGGCCCCCCCCCGCCGATGCAGCACTGCAGCACTGCAACCCCCACCCCCCTTGGATCGAGGACCCAGGCTTGGCCTCCGCCACCTCCTCCTCCTCCTCCTCCACCTCCTCCTCCTCCTCCACAATTACTCAATATGAAAATACTCTCCCTCTTCCCCTGATGGCGTCCGGGTGATGGCCGCGCACCCTCCGCGTACTGTTTTTTACACACAGGATGCCCGGGAAATCCCGGGAAACGACTCTCGCTGAGGCGCCGGCGTCATTTTTTCCCAACATGCTGCTCTCGTTGAGGCGCCGGCCTCATTTCTGCTCCCGAATCGTTCCGAATCGTGCTCCCGCTGCAGCGTGGGCCTCATTTTCGGATCGGTGTTTGGCCTCCGTCGTTCAGGATGGCGTTCTCGCCCCAGCGCGG